GACAGGAGCGGGTGCTGGGAGCGCAGACCCTGCTGCGGTCCCTGCTGGAGTCACACGAAATCCCCTCCCTCATCCTCTGGGGACCACCGGGCTGCGGCAAGGTGAGTGGCGCCGCCGGGCCCTGCCGCCGCTGCTTCTTCTGCCCTGGCGGGCGGCGACTGAATGCTCAAGCCCTTCTCTGTTCCGTGTGGCTCTCGAAGCTGATGAGCTTAAAATGTGGGGCCTGTTACGTTAGAACTCGGCCTTTTTTCCCTCTGTCTTGTTGGTTTCTTCTGTTACGGCTTTACGTTAGCTGATGCCCGCGAGTTTTCGCTTAGATTACAAAATACACAACCTGCCTCCTGAATGAAAAAGAAGTGGCTCACCTCCACTTCAGACCCACTCCCTGTAGCTTGCACGTTGCTTACACAGGCCCTTCTTGGTTTCAGATAACTAAGATTTTGTAAACTCAAAGACCGTTGCCTAAAACGCAGGCTGTGTTTTAGGTAATTTAAAATGAGCAACAAACAGGATCTGTAAAACACCTAGGAAATGGGGTGAGATACCAGCAGATTACTACAGCACAGTTTGCAAGAGCAGGTTTTGCTTTAGCCACACATTTTGTCCTCTAACAGAAGGCAGTGGTATGAAAGGGAGCTAGTGCTGTGGCCAGGCATGCAGTACCAGGCACACATCTATCTGCAAACACACACTCTGAAACTGATGGGTCTTTGCAGGATCTGACTGATGTACTATTTTGTTCAGCCTTTTTTAAGATGGCGGGGCAGAATGGTGAACCCCAAAAGGCACTGTAATTACAGCACAGCAACAAAGGGATCCACAGCTGTAGTGAAGGAAGGACCAAACAAATGCCTCAGGTGTGGTCAGGAGGGAACGTTCAAAAAATCTTCCCTTCATTTTATCCTTTTTCTCTGTATTTCAGATTGGGGGTGGCAGGGGGGAGGCTAAGCAAGCAAAGTTCATGATTATCTCTGTCAGCCTAATGTGTGCACACTGCTAAGTTTTGCATACTGTGTATATATATGCTGTATGCGAAAGCATGAGTGGGAAATCTGGGACAGGGAAGAGAATGACTAACACTAATGATAGCAGAGAAGCTGGGGACAGCATCACCTTGCTCTTCTCAGCATTCTCACTTGAAGATAAAAAGAGACTATGTATGATATTTAATAATAATGCCAGTTAATCACAGTTGATGAGGAGCAGGTATGAGAATAATTGATAGATGAGTACTGTTAGCAATGACCTAAACAGGTTGTTTAGGCTGGATAACAGAAAACGCCTGAAAAGAAACAGCTGGTGAACTTGAGTAATTGACACTTCCTTTAAAATAACAAAGTAATATCAGAAAGAAAAGTATCAGAGGAGGTAAGGGCTATTCCTAAAAGCTCAATAAAGGGGAGGTGATTGTTGGAAGCAAGATGGCCAGATAGAGGAGGAGAATTGAATTCCTTAATAAATTGGAATTCACCTTATTGAATGAATAACATGTTCAGGGGCCTGCCACTACATTTATTCATACTCTTCTGCCTTTGGTTTCTTTTTATCTGTGTCAACAGTGTGTGCTTGCTCTTTCTTGGAGACCTTTTTCCTTAGAGAAAAATGCTGTTACAAGTATAATGTTAACAAAACTGAATTTGGTGGTCTTTGAGTTATGATCTGATGAACTCATCGTTTTTTGGCTATAGAAATGTTTTTTCATGAGTTTGTGGAAGCTTATGCTTGTGGTTTAGGTCTTCTTTAGGAACCTTTTGTGACTTTGGATAAGAGGTGATCTGTTTTATACCTGTGATAACACAGGTTTCACTCTCTCATGACCTGTCTTCCTCACCTATATGCCTTATGTGGAGTTGTATTTAGTAAGCTTGCTTCTCAGAGAATTTAAATTCTACTGCTCATCATTCATCTGGTTTGTATCAAGACTGTGCCATTTGCCCCATCAAGGAAGACTTCCACAATTTATCAGTTACATTTTCTCTCTCTAAGTACTTAAGTGTTGGTTGGGTAGCTCATCTCCTTCCTAGGTTACTCCTCTGCAAACAGTCTTGAAGCTACATGCTTTCTACTAGCTCTTGATAGACTATCCATTACTGTCTGAACCAGCAATTCCTACTGCAGAAGTTGAACTCTTCCTTTTACCTCTATGTATTAGTATTTCTAGGATGGTGCTGAAGTATAGTTTCATCTCAGGCCTTCTGTCCTGCAAATCATATTGTCTGTCTTGTGTAAATAGCTGAAAGTTCTATCTTTTACTTGGGTGTTATTTGTTAGATTCCTGTCCTTACAGATTTAACATGCAAGGTAACATAGTCTTCCTAAAGATAGAAAAAGAAGTCTGTGGTTGCCTGCCTGCCTCATTTGCTTACTGTTACATATATAAGGTGTCTAAGAAAGCATTTCATGAGGAAGTAACCTGTGAGGATGGACAGATGAAAAGGAAGCCTATTTCTCTTCTGATGGGAAGATTCACAAAAAATTGAAAGTTATAAGATCTTGTGAAGGAGAAAAAAATATTCTCACTGCCTCAGGACCTGTGGTTGGACTGATAATCAAAAACTTCTTCTGTTAAGTGCAGTCTTTTTCAATGGGAGAAATATTGAGAAATAATTGCATGTTACATAGCTTCAAATGTAAAAATCTCACATGCTGAGTTCAGCCCATCAAAGAAAATAGCCTTATATTACAGGGTAGGTGCTAAAATAGGAATATAATTAGGTATGTTGGTCTAAATTCAGAAGTGCTGTATAAGATAGTCACAGACTCCTTAAACCTCTTCACACTCTTGCTACCCATGGAATCGGGTTATTGCAGCCTATCTATGTCTTCTTCCATTTCTACAGCCAAGTGCCATGCTAACTGATCCTTCTTTTGAAAAGGGTAGAGCAGGATTAGGTAAAAAAAAAAATAAAATAACTGGAGAGGGAATTAATCCTTGGGGGCAAATTTCAAATTAATTGGTGTATTACTTACCAATCTGAACCTTTATAAGAACTAACAGTTCAGCAGATGTTTTCTAAACAAGAAGAAATTGATCTTGGGCATTAAGCTGCTGTAAATACAGTATTTCATATTGTAGGTCAGGAGTACTTTTGGAGAATTTTAATCATGAAAGCAATAAAGCACAAGTACCTAAGTAAAAATACATGTGCTTTGTACTGCCCAAACTGATTTTGGCCTCAGTTGCATTTGAGTATTTGAGGAAGCACAACCAAAATTGTAAAGACAAAATCAAGTACTTCTGTTGTAAGTTTATTTTCTTCTGAGTTTCCATCTGTATTGAGTCATTTTAAGGGAGCATGATCTTTACTTTATATTTGTTATCCTAATTTCTTAGGAAGCCAAAGTGTTCTAGGTGAAAAGTTTTTGTCTCTGTTTTTGTTTTTACTTTTGTCACTATTTAGTGTTGAACACTACACTTTAAGAAGCTGACGAGACACAAGCCAGAAGAAATACTGCCTCAAAGAGATGCCATGGTTATTAACTTTGAAATAGTTACCTTGTTCATCCTGACTATGCAGATTTTTAAAAGCCTCTACGAATCCTAGTGTAATCTGAGTAAGTCATACTGTGATTTATGACACCTTAATACAGGGATTTAGATTTTTGTTTGTCTGCCGTGGGACACCAATTTTAGTAAAGAGTTAGCAGAGGGGACACAGCGAAACTTGAGCACTGAATAATTTTGCTGACACAGATATGGTTTAAGCCTTATAAACCTGAACATTCTGTATTTAAAGGCTGTAAACATTCCCTTTTATGTTTGCTGTTTATGAAGAAAAAAAATGTAGGCAACAACATACAAAACCCTACAAAAGATAAGTCAAAGAACATTCACGCATGCTTTTCTGGGGTCCATATCTGCAGTCTAGTACTAAGGTAAAATATGCCATGCTGATAGGAGTGCACAAAATTAAAACCCCCAGTAGGTGGTCTGCAGTTGCTATGAAGTCTCCACGGAGTTTATATTTTATTTCTAGGACTCCCTTGTATTTCTTTTCTGTGTTTGTTGTTTTGTTTTGTTTTTTTTTTTTTTTTTGGAGATTTTTTTATATGACACGTTGAAACACAGACAGTAAGTCCAATTTACATATTTTGTTTCTTGCATATTTATCATCCATTCCTTCCACAGTTTTCCATTTTGCTGATTCAAGAGATAACCTAAATAGCTATTTGATTACTTGAGTATATTTTGTCTGCTCTTACTCGTATGGCTTGGGGCCTGATTTGAAGTATTTGAAATAGTAAATTCCTTTGATTGATTACCATGAGGTTTTTAACTGAGAATGCATGACGTCTTTTACAGTAGCATACAGTGAAAGTCCAGAACAGCTCTGAAAAGGAGCTTGTCTTTGCAGTTGCCTGGGAGAAGTCTTTGAATACAGTATGCTTTATTTTGCTTATGCCAATCTAAATCAAGAATTACTTAGGGTAGCTCTGTAGGAGGAGAAAACTGTGAGAGAAAATACAATTGTACTTACAAAGCAGTTAGAATATAAGGAGGCAAATCTAGATGCAGCAAACGGAGGCACTGCTCCATTTCAGTAAACATTATGCAATGACCTTGCATCTGTTTATGCTTGGTCGGACTTGGATTCTGCAAGTGCAGTAAACTACATGCTGTTGCTGTTGTTCAGTGACACCGTACTCCTCTAGTAGTCTCCCACTGGGCTATTTGGGGTGTGAGGAACCAAACAGGATGGGTAAGAATAGCATCTGCCCTTATATAAATGCCAACTGCTGCCACATTTGATTGTGTTTATCTCTATAGACAGTGTCCCTGGGCCACGTCCATCAGTTATCTTGACAGTTTCCTTTAGACACAGCATGGCTCTTCTCCTGTGATGCAGTGTTGTAGCTTGAGGTCAGCTCAGCAGTGTTGGGTAGGACAGACCCCAGCTTTTTAAGCTGCATCCTGGGAATTTCTCCCCTGGCTGGCATCCAAGGATGCTGGTGCTGTTGATGTCTCACTGAAGGCAGTGAAATAGAGAGTAACCTCCCCTGACTGCTTGTCAGCCACAGTATGGCTCTAATGCCCTCAAAGGGAGGATTGAGGTTGAGAAGAGGCAACCCCATGTATAAAGATACAGAAGTCCTGGCCAGAATAATGGAAGAGGGAAAAACACAGGGAAAGTCATGGTCAGAGGGCAGCATAAAAAACCAGGATGCCGTTTCAGAACTCTTGATAATGTAATTTAGACACTACAAGTCTTTAGGTATAGCTAGCTTATTGGGCTTGTGTTTTGTACTAGGCTGACAGTTTTTGCCAACCCTGCCGCAAACATAATTCACACTGTGGTTTGCTCAGGAACAAACCAGCAATGTTGCTTGCTGGGGAAGCCAACTACATTATCCTGCTCAGGACTAATCCATGTTGCTCTGTAGTCTATGCACTAGTGCAGATCTGTGTCAGTTCTGCTTTGGTCACCTAAACATAGCAGGCTGTACAACCTTCCAGACTTGTTGGGAGAAGTATGTATGTTGGAAGGGCCCATCCAGGTGCCAGGACAGCTTTTGCACCAGTGTGCTCCTGTAAAGTGTGGTGTGAACGTCAACTCCTCATGAAAAAGCTGTGAGAGGTGAAAAGGACTGTGAGGATGGACCAGAATGTCTGTGAGCTGCCCTGTGCACCTTGCAGGAACTCTCTGACATGACTGCTGAACACAGTATAGATGTAAGCTAAGAGACTATGCATTTCTGTGACTGACATCTACAACAGCAGTTTTGCTAAATTTATGTAATTTAAGAATCAATAAGGAAAGTCTCCATGAACAGGCAACCATAGATAGATCTCTAAACCTGGTCTACCTGATCTTCCGCCAGAGTAAGGTAAGAATGACCTCAGGTTTCACAGTCAACTTCTTGACTGGAGTCTTCTTGACTGTGATCTGACCATATAAGCTAATCTCTTCCCAATTTTTTCAGTTCCATTTTCTGAAGAGAGCTAGGCAATACTACTGTTTATTCCTGGAAGGGGCTTTGGTGAGCTAATGCAGTTTAATTGCCTGGTAAAGAGGTGCAAAAATGAAAAGACCACCTTACAGTTAATGTTAGTCATTGAACATCAGAATCAGTAGGACAGGCTTAATTTATACTTGCTTTATACTGTTTTCTTCCAGCCATTGGTGAGTGGTTGCACTGACTAGTGGCAACACAGAGAATTGGGAAATATGTCACACTCAAAGAAAGTTGCTTAATCAAGGAAACTTGTGGATATACAGAAAATTCTTGTCTCCTAGGACAAACATCCAACTAAACACAACAACAAATCGACTGACTTACCGCTCTGACAGCGGGAGGTGCGTGGAGTCAGGTACACTTTGTGAGTTACTGTTACTTCATCCATAACTCATGTCAAAGCCTGGAAGAACTGGGAACATAGTTGCTGGGAGTGGGCTGTTTTTTTGTTTGGGGGGGGGTTGTAAATCTTGGACAGTTGCAGCCTTTGGGAAAGAATATTCGCATTCAGGCTGACATGAAGTTTGCAGGATGGTGGAGGAGAGTTTTGGTAGTTAAGTGTTTGTGTAATAGATCTGGAAATGAGTGACTATAGGCTCAATTCATTGGTGAGTAATGGTTCATGAGTTTCTTGGTGGATATGTTTCCACATTTCAGAACGGCCTTACTCTGTATCAGATTTTCAGTGTTCTTCCTATGCTTCAAATACAATGCCCCTGAATTTAGGGAGAGAAACTAGGGGTTTAGCATATGGGTTGTGGTTCTTCTGTGCTAATGCCTTCCAGCTTAGGGTACCCTGCTTAAGTCACCACTGGGTTATATGTTCTCTAGGTTGTAACTTGATAGTAACAAAAAGGGAGAAAACAATGTAGCATGTTACTGAATTTTGCTTGAGGTGGTAGAAGAAAAAAGCAGCATTAAAAAAATGGAGCGTATGGAAAATAAAAGGCTTTCAGAGGAATAGGGAAAGTTCAACCTGTATGTGGTGGGCAGTTAGACTTGCTTAATGATTGTGCAGAACAGAAGGAAGAGGTCATAAACATGCCTGTCCATGTTGAGTGCTGCTTTTGAAAGGCAGTGTATGTTATCACAACCTTTGTTGACCTAGAAGTTGGCAGAGTGGGAGAGGTACGTGCTGGTAGGGAGCTATGCAGCAGGTTTTGAGTAGATTTTTGGTCTAATAGTAACTTTCAAACAAATCTCTTTGCATCTTTTTTTTTTCCCCCAAATTAGGAGTAGAAATATGGACTTCTGTGCATATGTTTAAAAACAATTCCTGGCTGCCTTTTTGAAAGAATGAATCTATTTGTGACATGGTGAATGAGGGCTGGGATTCAGTATGAGCTACCAGTTCGGGTGGAGCTACAAGAATAGCCACTTTATTATTCACCACCACTTTTAGAGAAGTAAGAGGTACATTTTTCCCTTCTCATCCTCAAATTTGATGTATTGGGGGTTTCAATGCTTTCAGTGATTTTAAAGGCATGGGTACATTCTGTTTAGTAAAGAAACAGCAACTTTGGTTTTATTTTGATAGCTTAGTTTCAAAAATAATTTAACTTCTGGATTTTGCTTTCCCAGATCTTCCTGATTTCTGCAGGCTTTGCTGCAGATGCTTTCCAACATGTATTTCCAGTCTTGTCTTCCTAGCAATATAAGGAGGGGAAGGACTGGTGCTTTGAGCTCCAGGGGATGAGAGAGGATCTGACATGGGGTGTGAGTCTTCTATTGGGATGTGAAGTGACACCTGTTCTGAACACAATCAGGAAGCCCTTACTAAAACTAAAGCAAGAATAAATAGTGACACATCCTCCCCTTTAGCCTCCCTTTTCCCATCTTGGGCTGGTTGCCATTCCAGGGATGAGGAGATCCATTAAAGAGACACAGCAGTGCTGCAAACACCACTGGTAGCTATGTAGTAGGTGGTTGCTTCTGCAGCCTCTCTGTAAGAGGATCAGGTTAGCAGCACCTGCTGCTTTAACCTCAGTACTTGGAATATCTTCTGAAGTGGTTTGTCAGCACCTGTCCCTCTCCTCATCTTCTGAGGCTCTCTTCTTTTCAATCTTTCAGGGCGGCTCCTTTCGAGTGAGCTCAGTGGCAAAATGGCCGGTTTTTCTCTAGCAGTACTTTGCAGTGGAGATGCTTGGGACATGCAGATGCACCTGCCTTTACTCAGGTTGTGAAGGAAGGTCTCTAAATTGTGCTTGTGATGTGTTCAGGTGTAGTAAACCTGCCTGGGAGGTAGTACTGAAGGTTGCTTCTGTGCTTTGGTGGGCTTAGTGAAATTCTTTATAAATAAATTCCGATTTGCAAAAGCTATCTTTAAGGAAAGAAAACCAACACAGCTGCTTACTAAAGCCTGCCAATGGTTTGTTAAGTCAGCTGCCTTTTACTTCCCTGGGCCAGCATTTGATTACTGTTAATTCTTTAAAGAGTTATATTTTCTTAAGTATGCATGTAATTTTTCAGTGCTAACATTCTCATGCTTTTGTAGAGAACTGCTGTCTGATTAATTTCATTTTTATCTGCAGTAGAAATAGGAAAGGCTTTAGTTTACAACACTGTGGCTTTTTATTTCTTAAATGTGGTTGCACTGTAAACTCTTCTGCAGGTGTCTTGGGTAGTCCTGCTCTTTATCTGTTAACATATTCTGCAGACAGAATATCTGCAGAGTGAATTACAGTCAGCCCATCTCTTATGACAGAAATGTATTTGGCAAAGAGTTCTTCTTCCATGGCAAAGGAGACAGCTGTCATTGTTGGCCTTTTCAGTATTGAGACCAAATAGGTCTGGTACGTAAAAGTGCAGGCATTAGAAATGGCAGCAGTGGAATTGGCAGCTACCTCTAGCAGGAAGTTTTTAAGTCTTCTGTGTTCTAGAATGGCATGAACTAAAATATTTTATAAGCTGTCAACACTATCCCTTATGTCCAGAATATATAGCTTTGTTCTTTAGATACTTTCTTCAAATGAGTACTTTCTGTGTTCAAAAAGACTTTTACAAAGCTATGTCCTATTGCTGTTTCAGACTACACTGGCACACATCATAGCCAACAGCAGCAAAAAGAACGGCACGAGGTTTGTGACACTGTCAGCCACCAGTGCCAAGACAAATGATGTTCGAGATGTCATCAGCCAAGCTCAGAATGAAAAAAGACTCTTCAAAAGAAAAACCATACTCTTTATTGATGAGATTCATCGTTTCAATAAATCTCAGCAGGTATTGTACTACACTGCTTTTTGAAAAAAGCCTTTGCCAGCACTTCTGTAAAATTTTCCCCCTGTACCTTAATATGATAGCTTACTTTGGGCTTTTGGTTTTAATGTGAAGTATTTTAGTAGATGAATTAGGGAGAAACATAAAAATTAAATTCCATAACTAACTCCCAATCTATGCTTAGTTATTGTGATTCAAAGATTTACATGAAAGGCTGAGCTATACTTATAGTTGACTTACATGCCAGGCTTTATATGAAGTTTCTGCAAAGTCATGTTAGTAATGTTTTCTGCACACCATTTCAGCCTCCACTGGCTACTGGGGCTAGCACTTTGCATTGCGTTAAAAAAGGTCTGGAATGTGAATGTGCATGGGGTGGCTATCTGTTTTAATGTTGTCCCTTCTCTGTGAGAAGGGAAAAATAAGGTACTTCAGGATAGCACATTGCTGCAGCCATCACTTGGGTGTTTGGTTTTTTCCTTTTACCTTTCCTAGGTGTAAGTTTTCTTAGTCGTACCATGGAAAGCTTGAATTTTGTGCTACAAGTTACAGTTTTTATATTGAACTATACTGCAATCTTCCTACAGTTTTCTGAGCCAAGCTGTAGACTTGTGTAAAAGGGAATTGTAGCCCTAAAGGTGAAGTAGCCCTATTATTTGTTATATTTTATAAGACAATTTCACAATATCTTGTTTGCCAAGCAATAAAACAAAGTCACAAAAATAAACTAAAATTTGCAGATTTTTATGCTGTTTCTGGTAGAGTCATTCTCAGTACAAGTGTGAGTTATTAAAGTGAACAGCCCATAATGTGCTGTGTGTATGAAATTAAATCATTTAGATAGCTGAGCAGATGAGCTGCCTTGTCAGTGAGGTTATTTGTCATACCAACAGGGAATCCAAAGACTCAAGACACAAAAAATGCAGCCTACTCACATGGTATGTTTCAGATTGTCATTGATGGAGATCAGCTTTTTCTGCTTCCCTCCCATCCTCAGGACACGTTCCTTCCTCACGTTGAGTGTGGGACAGTGACTCTGATAGGAGCGACCACTGAAAACCCTTCTTTCCAAGTCAACGCTGCTCTTCTGAGTCGATGCCGGGTGATTGTCCTGGAGAAGCTCTCAGTTGAAGCGATGGAGGCGATTCTGATGCGGGCTGTCAGGTCCTTAGGGGTCCAGGTTTTGGGCCAGGGTGACCAGCACAGCAGCTCTGCGACTGGCAGCAGCAGTGAAAGCTCAGAGTGAGTACTTTATGGGCTGCAGGGTGTTAATGCACACAGCCTGAGGAATTGACTGCCTGCCAGGGAGAGAATGAAGCAGTTGGGGGGTGGGAAGAGAAACCCTAGCCACTTCTGATAGTAAAGAAAAAAAGTGGCAGCATATGGCAGGGGTGAGGGGTGACAGGAGAGAGAGAATTCAAAGCACTGGCTCTCTCCATCCAAAACATAATCTCACTGTCTGGATTAGGAGAGAGTTGTATACTTGGATCTGTAGCTCCTGACTCACCCTCCTAGGATATTTAAATCTGTTCTGCTGCTGAGGATTTGCTGAGGAAGCATCTAACTGTTTATTTTTCATGTTTTAATGTGTGTTACTTCTTGCTACTGGTTGTAGAAGCATCATGTTACTATTAAGTGGTGGATGGTGCATCCCTCCTTAATTTAATTTGGAAGTGCCTGACAAAAGTTTGTTGTTTCCTGAGAATATTCTTTTAATAAGATCAGGAAGGATTCTACTGTTCTTTAGCTGCAAGATAAGTCCTGTGGTATTTTTTATGGTATGCTGTGGGGAGAGGGGGCTGTTGTTGTGAGGTGTTAACAGATTGTTTTAAGAGAGACTTCTTTTTTTTTCTCAGCTCCTTGTTGCCCAAGCCAGATAAAGTCACATTAAACATTTGGGAGAGTTCTAAAAAAAGCAAGGTCCAGATTTGTCTGTAAAGGATATTATCTGCCTTCTGAAATGGCTAGCTGGCAAATAAGAACAATGCTTGGTACTGTGCTACTTCGATGCAAGTTATTACACTTGATGTTGTTGCTTGCCTGTACTCCTAGTAATTTAGTGTATTGACGTGGTAATTGGGTGGGTGCTCCATATGAAATAAGTGAGAAGGAATCGATTTTGTCCTTTAGCTTTATCACAGAGTGTAAGCCCTAATAAATGCTTAACCTGAACGCTGAGGGCAGGGCAGGGAAGGAAAGCTATTCCCTTTTTATTTTTAGGGTACACTGCCTCATGGTTTACTCATTTGTAGCTTTTACATATTGCAGTAATGCGAATTTTAGAAGAGAGGCCAGTACTGCATGTCAGCCTTAATGTAATGGCACAGCTGTGGTTGTGGCTACACCCTAACTGGGGTTCAGAGACTTTCCTTTCTGTACAGGATTAAAGTACAAGGCATAGTTTCAGCTGCAGTTGTTTGGGTTTGGGTTTCGTGAGACTCTTCAGTATCTGTAACCTTCCGTTAGCTATGGATAATTTGAACAGCGCAGTGTGGTGCTTCATCAAACTGAAAGAAGTCTGGCAGGCAGACTGTCAGACTAGCACAGTTTCAGAAATCTATCCATGGAGAGAGAGGGCCCTACTCCAGTGGCTAACATGGGAGCCTACCGTTTAAAAGTAAAAATGTAATGTGTGTTAAGTCTTTCTTGGCTTTCCTGCCTCTATTGGATTCTCGTCTGTAGCTGATACATACTGTTGCACGTGAGTTTGTCTTTTTATAAGCCATCCTGTCCCTTGCTGTGTTTCTGGTTTTGAGCTCTTTGTTAATTCCTTGCTTCAGTGTACATACCATTTCTGTTCCTTCATTTCCCCTTCACCTACTACTCTGCAGGAGCAGCTGTGTCTTGTCTTTTACCCCTTCACCTCTCTGCATCTAAGAAGCAAAGCTTTCATTACATGCAGACAGGTAACTGTTCACGTTGTCCTGGGGAATGAATGAAAGTCACCAATTACAGTTGAACTGGTTGTTCACTGTGCTTACCTTTGTTCCAGGGTTGGAAATCAGCACGTCCACTTTAAAAGTGATGCAGAGATCCAGCTAGAAGCCACAAGAGATGTGTACATTGGATTTTGGATTTAATTTCACATGGGAGTCTCCCATCCCAAACCATGGAAGCATAGTATGAAGTTGTGAATGCGCTGCTTGGCTTCAGTTTATCACTGAAGTATCACGTTACTTGTCTGATATGATGGCTGATCTAGATCAGATTTTGGATAGGATGATTCTTTGTGGTCTCTTCTCTTACCTTGAGGAATAGGTGAGGGTGAATCTTCTCTAATCTCTATAGGCATCTTCCATGCTCAGAGAGAATGCAGCCATCGCTGAGTGACTCAATAGGTTTCATCATCTCTGCACTCCATGCACATGCAGCAGTTATCAAAAGGAAAGTGTACTCTACCCAAATCTCTTTCCTTATGTTTTCTTGGTGGTTTTTTCTTATCCTGATTTTCCACCATTGTCGTAGGTCTCTGGTAAGGTTAGGTCACCTGGCTTCTGTTTCATCCTGCTGTGGCCTTTTCTTGCTGGAAAGCTAAACTAGAACTAGCAGGTGTTACCTACTTTGTATGGTATGTCTTTGCATGTCAACATGATCATAAAGCTTCTTGACAGTTTTTGTATTAGTTGCTTGATTTCATTAGCATAAGATGTGCTTTTTGTTATATTTTCATCAACTTTACTGCCATCAAATTGTGCGTTTCAAAGCCTGCAGCAAATTAAGCTGAAAGATGGGAGAATGTGAAAGGAACAAACATACTCTTGAAGAAGAAAAGTAAGGAAAAGTCAATGTTGAATATGCTTTATATTGCTGAAACTTTGCTTGTGCTTTCTGCAGTTTTACACTCAGTCATAGCACAAACTGTACCAGCTCTACACTGATACCCTACACTTGTACTGGAGGAAATAAAATTCTTCTTTATTTGGCTTTTTATTTTTATCATTCAGGTGCTGCCCTCAAGAGTGGTATCTCTAATTCAAGTTGAACAGTAAACTGGATAGTGGATTAATGTATTTGAAGTCAGATAGCACAGAAGGCGCATAACTGAGGGAGATGGAAGGATCCCTATTTTCCTGTTGGCAAGCCCAGATACACAGTTTGCCTTGTTTAGTGGCTATATTGCAAGTACTGACAGGTTTTGAATTCACTGTTTTGTAAATCACAGTGTTGAAGATGGCTTCCTTTGGGTGTTCACTGTTCAGTATCTTTCTAAAAATTATTCCCTTTTTGGAACATCCATCGAATTTCCTTGCAGGAAATAGAGTTGCTGAGATGAGAGGCAGCATTCAAAAACAATGCTGTAAGGTAGTGAACAATACATATCATACTGCAGTATTTCAGGTGTAGAATTGTATTTGCCTGTAAAAGTCTGTTTGAGTGGATGTGTGAGAATAATTGCACTGAGAAAGTAAGAAAGTAGTGATTTCTATTTGAAAAAGAAACAATGGGTACTTTATCTCATGTTCTGCTTGTTCTTAAATCTTTCATCATGCAGGTTCTCCTTGCTTGGACTTCCTTCTATCTACTCTCTGATATTGCTTATACTCTCTTGTCATTGGTTGAAACACTGAAGTGTTTATACAGGTTTTCTGGATACTTCATCATACATTTCATGTTGGTTCTTGGCACATCTGTTTTGGGGGTTTGTGGAGATAAGGAGGAACTGGAAGAAGGATTCATTATCCTGTAGTGGTAGTTTTCCATTCCTTAAGCTCAAGTGAGTGATGGATCCCATGGCATCCCTTTTGGCTTGTTTATGTTTTTGTCTCTAAGTTTCACCAGTTACAAGTACCAACATTGAACATTGGCATCCAGTGGGTGTTCAGTGTTAATTTTGGAGAGTCCTAGATTGAAACTGAAGAGACAGGAATATAACTCGACTTTCTTGCCGAGCTTCTAACTGGCAAATAAATGGCAAAAATCCTCTAAGGCCTCAACTTTGTTTGGGACAGAAGACTGTTCTGAGTTTCTTGGAATCACAGTACCTGACCCTTAGTGCTCTCAACTCTTCCCCTCCACTTGCAGTTGCTGAGTTGTGGCTATCAGTGTGTGGAGGCCTCAAGCACATGGTGTTCTCTGGAAACAGCAACCAAAGGGTTTAGTTCTTGCAGGTGAAGCCTTCACTTCACTCTGTCCTGCTGGTGTATCCAGAGTGTTTGGCCAGTGTGCAGCATTATTTGGTTTTGTTCCCTGCTGATGGAAGTATTAAAGCAGGATATCTGTGTATAGTGCCTGCCAGGTTTTTAAAAACAGCTTTTGCTTTCTTGTTGGCTTCTTTTATTGCATATAGAGAAATCTGGTGCCTGTCTCTTGTGCTGAGGGGTCAGTGTTGCTTACTGATTTTCAAGGAATTTGATAACAGTATGTGCTTATTTTGTTGCAGATTCCCAGTATACATAGAGGAGAAAGCTCTAAAAACCCTAGCCTACCTTTGTGATGGTGATGCAAGGACTGGACTGAATGGACTCCAGTTAGCAGTTCAGGCCAGATTAGCAGTGGGGAAGACCACTCCTTTGAATATTCCCAAAAGAGGTTCTGCAGATAGCATTCTGATAACAGAAGAGCATATAAAAGAAGGGCTACAGCGATCTCACATCTTGTATGACCGAGCAGGTGAGTGCCTGGTACAGTTTCTGAGGTGCAGCGTTCTCAAGAGCTGATGGCCTCTATAATTTCTGTTTCTTCTCCCCTTTTCATACCAGCTCCTCTGGTGAAACAGTGGTTGTACTGAAATTTGGCCTAAAAATTAGTTTTCCTTTATGGTGTAGCAGGCTCACCCAGAAATTCCTTCTGAACAGGGTTTCCTCTTCCTGTTTAGGAAGCATGGGTCAGCTGAAAAAGCTTTGCTGCCCAGCAAATGGTTGCATGTGAAATTATTTGTTCTTTAAGGTTATTAGAATATTGTCTTTGAGGGTGCAGTGCAAAGAGGAAGAAGTAATTGGATTAGGTGGTTTGTTCTTGGAGGGTTGGAAATCTTCCATTGCACTGTGAATGTCTTGGAAGTGCTTACAATTGCAACAATGCTATGTGAAAACTGGAGCAGCTTGCTTTATTTTTAGAGTTGCTTTTTAAGGTGATGAATTTTGTAGCTTGCTTAGGGCAGGTCACATAAGTGTAATTGCATTTAAGGCTTCCTAATGTGATAACCACTCTTGCTAAATTAGTGACTCGGTAATGTTAGGCATTGCAATAGTTGGCCACTATGCCATTTTATGTAAGAGTGTTAAAAATCAGAGAGTGAATTTTAGAGATTAGGTGAATCCCCTTGAATGCATATGCTAGTTCTTCAGCAATATGTGAATCACCATGCAGTGTAGTATCAAATGATTATGCCAAGCAGTATTTGGAGAACTGATTGACTTTTGTTCTGCCACTGTATCTGATATGCTCAGTTAACTGTCACTACTCAAAATCCGCTAAGAGATTTCTCAGGGTTGGTTGTAACACACATGCCTGCTTGCAGCCCTCTTGTAGAAAATGGAAATGATGGCTTATTGTCAGGAAAGTCAGCTGGGCAGATACTGATAAGATGGCAGCTGAGAAGTCAAGAGTAGGCAGGGGGAGGGAGAAGAAAAATCTTACGGGGTCTGTGGCAGGAAGAATTTGTGATTAGGAGGAAGCGGAAAATCTGACCGGTTTGCTGGTGCGTGGCCCGTCATGCACAATGCAAGTCCCTTGTGTGCTTGCTTTTGCCTTGTGGCTGCTGTCACACGGAATTCCTGGCTGTATCCATGGCTTCCAGCCCTTCTACCACTGTTTGCTCTGCTAGAGATAGGACACAGTGCCTCTTCCTGAGGCTTATATCAAGTCTTGGTAGCATGTGTCAGTCCTTTCTCTGTAACAGAAATCCTTCGAGCTTTGTGTAGTGATTTTTGGTTTTGGGTTTTATTTTGGCAGATATTTTCAGAGAGGGGTGGGAGCAGTGAAAATTCTGGTTTTCGTGATTGTATGAATGCCAGAGAGCCTGCCACAGATACTGGCAGAGTAGCAGGTTGCCCGAGTACGTGCCTTTTACAAAATTTCTCTCTTTTGTGGAGTAGTCATGTCTTGACTTACTGCCTTTGTCCATAGTAGAGATAGCTGTTTGTTCTTTTGTGTACAAAGGGCTTGTGGGTAGAGGCTACTACATAAATAAAGATATCTTTGTAGCATGTTTTAGCTAAATCACAGTTGTGGTGGTGGAATCTACAATCCTCTAATATGAAGTGTTTCAGCCTTAGAAAATAGAGGAACATGGTGCTGTCTAATCATGATAGCAGCAGCATACATCTGAGTGTAGTGTGTTCATGTAGAAAGCACCAAATAATTGATTAATGTTCAGTCAAGAGTTGTGTAAATATGGAATTTTGATTTCATATAATTATTTATTTTTGGTAGCCTTCTTCAAAAGTTGTCAGATATGCGTAGCTGCGCATTCTTTTATGTACTTTCACCAAGTAGTCTGGGAAGGAAATGATTCATAATCCAGTCAATAGGCTATTGTTCTGATCTGCATGCAAACACCTAAAGACAAGATCATTGTGCAGATAATTATGCACTCTAGCTGAAAGGACAAAGAAACAGTTCTAGTCAAATTTCACTGCCAGCAGCTGCCTGCAGCCCTTGCAGTTAGTCATATTTTAGTTTTTAATTACAGTTTTTAAAATTTTGATTTTTGGAGAAAGTTATGCAGCAACCAAATTAATTAAAGCAAATATGCTTTTAAGATAGAGTTATGTTGTCTCTTCTTCCTCTTATGTATTGTGTCTGTCTGCTAACTGATTTGATAGCAAATACCAAAGATAAATATCAAAATAATTGGAGGACTTTGTCTCACTGTCTATGTGGTAAAATAACTTCAGTTATGGTAAACATATGTTACCACTTATGGTAAAGACTGGGAATGTTTTAATGTGAAGTTAGTTTTTCTGTAACCTGGAACGTGGTTGTTGCTTCCTTTCTATGGAGGAGGAAAGAGAAGGTGTCTCGCGCCATGATGTTTTTTTGCCAGCTTTATTCTTTTCTGATGGAGGAGTCTTTTTATCCATGTTGTTGCTGTAGTCTGTCTTCCAAGGCTTTCTTCTGTCCTTTATTGATGAGCAGTTTGATGTTACTTTTGGCTAAGATAGAAAATAATTTGAGATGGGGATGTGATTTTACTTTTGCTCACTACCTGATAAATAGGGATTGCTTGAGAAGTCCAGAGATTAATTATGGTCAGTGAATGATGCCTTTTTCCCATCTTCTACCAGTAAGACTTTAGATAAATCAATATCTTAAATTAACTGGAAAACTCTTTGTGAGTGCATAAAGCAATTTAGGGGGATAAATCAACAAGATTTATGCATCTGTATGATTACAAACAAGAAAATCCTGTCCTCCACAAAGCCTCTTGTGTAGTGTCTTGTTTCTCTTCAGAAAGATATTTTTTGCAGTTTTGTGGAACCGGCATAGAGAAAATGCATTTTGAGTCCAAAAACTCATTAGAGTTTTGATTTCAAGAGGTATCTGGGATGCAGAACAGCAACGATAGATAAGTTTGCATGTGCGTCTCTCAACTGAATTGATAAGGCCAAAATACCTATGTTGGCTAACCAACCTGAGAGACAGAGCTAATAAGTAAAGGTCTATAAAAAGTTCTACTTTTTTTTTAACTGCTTCTGGTATCTCACATAGAATACGTGTAAACTGTACCTTTAAAAAAGAAACATAAAACATCTTTGTCCAATGCATGTAACTGTATTTTGCCTTTGACTGAAACTGCATTTAAAGTACAGTTGCAGTTTTTCTGAAGTCGTACTCTAGTGTATATTGTCATTATGCTGATGACTTGGTCACCAACATTAGTTTTGCAAGAAGGAGATAAAGGGAGGAAACTGTTCCCTTTCTCAGCCTACACACTCTTGCAGGTATATATTTCTAGACCCAGTCTATCTGCTGGATTCCTTCAGCCTCTTCAGCTGGTATCCCCAAATACAACACTTTACAGTAGGCCAAACAGTGTATGAAAGTCCTCCAGTAAAAAAACTCTAGGTGAGTGCAACATCTAGAGATATTTAAAGGCCATTTCCTTACTTTTAAGAGACCAAGAGACGCCTCTTCCAAGAGGACGATGTGAGTTCAGCTGCTTGGGTTTATTGCTGCTAACTCAAGTGTTATGACGGAGCACGGACATGCTGTTTGTGTTGGCATGAGTGATGACTGCATACCACACGGCTCTTTGTGTGGAGTCCTAGCAAAAATAGCTGTCTGCCGGCCTGCATACACCAGCAGCGCGTGTGTTGAATTCCCCACAGAACCACACTGCAGCGTGAACAGTGACGCAGGAAGATGAATCCAGTTGCTGACCTGGGAAGTGGAGGTCTTGCTGGCTATCAAAAGAGCAGTTGCAGCGGTATCTGGGCTTTGGTTTTCAAACTCATGAATGTGGCCTTTTATTTTGCAGGGTTTACGAGTGACGGTGATGTGTTCTGATTCAGCCCTCAGGCTGTAAATCCTTTTAGCCGTAGGAAGAAGAGAAATATTAACAGATGGCTGTGCATGCAGCCAGTTGCCTTTATAAGACATGCTTAGCATTGAGCCAAGGAATGCCAGGCACTTTAAAAAATAAAAAGCACAGATTATGTGGAAAGCTTAACAATATTACAGCAAAATACTCTTACAAGTTTGATTAAGAGCAATGCATAAGAATCAAAACCAGCTGAAGAGAGAAAAATTGCAAGCAGGAAGGGTCTCATTCAGCATTTGTGATGTTGACCCTCTATCAACTGTAGCCCTAAAAGATGTGTGGAATGGCTTTGTTTCTCCTTGGAGTCCATATCTGATTGTATATTGAACTTTAATGTAAAAAAAACCAAAAACATACATATATTCCTTGTAATGCATTCAGTCTTCTCACTCCTTATTAGCAGTCTGGCATTTCAGGTTTTATTTGTTTCAGCTGCTTACAGTTTCCAGGACCCTTTCAGTGGGGCAGGTACCCATAATTGAACTCGATGTTTCTTAGGGGTTTGCCAGGGGTATGTGCTGCAGTCCTGTTCCTCCAGATTGTGTAATGTGCCATCATTGTGTATCTGCAGCAACATTTCATGTTTTCCCTGTATAATACAGCAAACTCATGTCTGATTTACTGCACTCTTTTTTATTTTTGAGTTTTAGTTGATATGAAATTAATTTTTCTAAAATACCACTGGTGTATAGTACTGGATTTCTGTGATTCTTCTGTTGTCGTCTTAGAGCTGTGTGCCATGTCCAAAAGCAATGGTCAGTGGTTTGTATGTGCTCTGTCAGTTAGGAGATATTTATACAGTCTTCTTAACTGCTTAAATTATTTTTTTTCCTGGGAAGGAAGGGTTGCCAGGGTACCCAAACCAAATTGTTTTCCCTGCAATGTTTAAAAAAACACCCTCCTTTTCATCTGCAGTTGCTTTGTTATGCTTATGTAATTAGTGGAATGATCCATGTGGCAAAGCATGAAGGTGTCGAAAACATTAAATGAATGCCATAATCACGTGTACATAAAAAGAACTTGAAAAAGAAGGTTACATTTTCCTGTTGTCATCTAGTAAAATATATTCTGTTCCCTTAAATGCATTTCACTTAATTTCCTCCTAACGGTTTTCTGTATCACTTCTCTCCCATTCTAAATAGGAGAAGAACATTACAATTGCATCTCTGCCCTGCATAAGTCTATGAGAGGCTCAGATGAAAATGCTTCCCTTTACTGGCTTGCTCGAATGCTTGAAGGTGGTGAGGATCCACTCTATGTGGCAAGGAGGCTGGTGAGGTTTGCAAGTGAAGATATAGGTCAGTATTCACAGTATTTCATGTTGGAACATTATGTTGAGTGAAGATCTGTCTGGCTTCTGGTTTCAAAAACTGGCTTTTGAAAACTAAAACAACCCCAGAACTGCTATATGCAAAACAGGTGCAAAATGCTGAAATGCTTCATATCTAACAAAAACTTTGTATGTACAGAGACATACATGTGAGAAAAATATTTTTGAGGTCAGGTTTTGGCAATGTATTAATACGGATTCTTCTAAGCTCTGATGTTGTTACTCTCATCACCAGTAAACTTGTGTCACAGAGTGTGTGTATTTCAGGGATGTCTGGTTTTTTTAATGACTCTGGAAGGTGAATGCCTACCCTAACTTACAAACCTTAGATTTGGTAACTGGCTCCCTAGCTGTAAAGGCATCTTGACACCGGCTTACCCAAAGTAACAGATGCAGCAACACTTTTAGCACATATGTGAAGGGTGAAGAGTTATGAGGTCTGGGGAAGTTATGTCTATATAGCAGTATTTCCCCATTCCTTTCTCTGTTCCAAAAAGTGAATCTTACACCGGTAGCTACTGCTCAGGCTGCCACCATGTGGCGACAGATTCAGTCTGTAAATCATACCCATGACTTAGACCTTTATTTTGCAGAGGAGGAGGGAGAGGGTGGAAAGAAAAAGGAAGGCTGTGGATGGAATGAGTGTATCTTATGTACTGCAAAATATTTTACAAAGTTCCAGCACCTGAGAAACAAACTTTGAAATGTGCATGGATAACCTTCCATCTTACAGAAGGAAAAAAAAAAGGAAGGAGAGACTTTTAAACTGACTTTAATCTACTTTTGTCTGATCCCTTTCTGTAGGGCTGGCAGATCCTCTGGCCTTAACACAAGCAGTTGCTGCTTATCAAGGCTGTCACTTTATTGGAATGCCAGAATGTGAGGTAAAGACTTCATTAATTCACTGATCTGAAAGTACTGCAAACTGTAAAACTTAGCTGTAATTATGAAAAGAAATGGAGATTGCAGGGACAAGGTGAATTTAGTTACTCAATCATTCAGCGTGCCCCTTTTTTGACGAGAATGTCGTACCTCTTAAAATAGATGTTGTAGTTTGAAATAAAATTCACTGCATATTCATTGTTAAAACGTTAACTAATGTCATTTTGCTCTGTCCATTTTGCTTTGTTATAAATAAAATAATATATTCTGACATTCTAAAGTTGCTATTATTTTCCAGTAGTGAAAATCATTAAAAGCTGTGTTGTTGTTAAATAATAATATTCAGACTATAGTAGCAGGCAGAGATCAGTTCTAAAACATAATCCCTGTCATGCTACGCAAACAACCTGAATAACAAACCTTTTCCCAAGCAGCTTAAAAGAAGACATTTAACATTTTCCCTTTTCATGTTTCCAGGTGATTCTAGCACAGTGTGTAGTGTACTTTGCCAGAGCACCCAAGTCTATAGAGGTGTACAGGGCATACAGCAATGTCAAAGAATGTCTGAGAATGCACACGGGACCTCTGCCACCTGTTCCACTGCACCTGAGAAATGCCCCAACAACACTCATGAAGAACTTGGGCTATGGCAAAGGCTATAAATACAACCCTATGTACAAGGAACCTGTAGAGCAGGACTATCTACCAGAAGAGTTAAAAGGAAAAGACTTCTTCAACGGATGAAAAACATGACCACCTTGCTCAGAATGGGGTTTGGTTTTATGACTCATACATTTGTATTGGGATGGAAATTCCCTTCAGTCTCAGCCATTTGTTATCATGATCAAAAGTGTTAAGTCACTGAGCCTTTCAGATACTTTCTTATCCTTCTATCTTTACTGCTGTTATTCTGAAGGTGTTTTGTAAAGAATTGCAGTTAGCCAATGGAAAATACAAAAATAAGCTTTATCAGTATAGTGCTGTCACCCTCTGTTTCAAAGGAAATGGAGAAAAAGAAAGGCTTGTGGGTTTGGCTCTTGCTGTGAGACAAGGGATGTCATTGTGCTGCTTTTTAAAATCAGTATCTGCTTCAGATTTTGAGAATGTTTATTTTCTGGAAAAATAGTAAATTGTATCCTCTCTGCTAATATACAGCAAACAAAATATAATTACAGTGTAATTCTTGTTCTTACGATGTTCCAGAGACAAATTTTGTACAAAATTGATTAAACCAATGAAGTTGTTAAACATAGTGTCTATGCATTTGTTTCAATATTTGTATGACAGTGTTGTGGTTTTGGAAGTTTAATGTTCTTCTATCATTC